ACCTCTCTGCTCGCCTGTCCCTAGGAGCCGGGTGTGGGCCGAGCCCTGCCTGGTCGAGGCTGCCAGGCAGGAGTACGACGGCGTGATCGAGGAGTTCCTGGCCACAGGAGAGAAACTCTTCGGACCCTACGTTTGGGGCAGGTGAGGTTCCTGTCGACTGGCATGTCCCTGGCTCCCCAGCCCCCCTCTGCCTCCTGGAGCAAAGCGCCCCGTCCCAGAGGGGGGAGGGGGTAGAGGTGGGGGTGGGTGAGCAAGACCCGGATCCCTGGTGCAGAGCGGACCCGTGACCGTTCCCCGGGCGATAAAACCGTCCTGGTGGTCGCGGGGTTCAGAGGTCGGGACCTTTGCCAGCTCATCTCCCCGCCCGCTGGAAGCTGCCAGCACCCAGGGCGCCTTAGCAAAGTTTACACAGCCCGGCCGGCCCGGCTCAGTGGCTGAGCATCAACCTGTGAAATCAGAGTGATGGCTCCATGGCCACCGGTGAGCTTGGGGTGCTGCTTGGAGGCAGAACAGGGGGCAGTTTTGGGGAGCAGACGGGGGCGGGGAGTCCCAGCGAGTGCGTGGAACGAGGAGCCTGGTGCCATCTGAGCCCCGGTCCCCTCCGCGCCCGTCCAGGGTCCAGGATGGGGAGGGAGGGGGGTCCGGAGCAGGGCCTCACGCCCCCCGGCTCCCCCAGGTACGACGTCCTCTTCATGCCGCCGTCCTTCCCCTTCGGGGGCATGGAGAACCCGTGCCTGACCTTCGTCACCCCCTGCCTGCTGGCGGGGGACCGCTCGCTGGCCGACGTCATCATCCACGAGATCTCGCACAGCTGGTTCGGGAACCTGGTCACCAACGCCAACTGGAGCGAGTTCTGGCTCAACGAGGGCTTCACCATGTACGCGCAGCGGCGGATCTCCGCATGCCTCTTCGGTGAGCGGCCGCGGGGCCCACCTGGCCGTGGGGCGGGGGACCTGGGCTGCGGGGTCCGAGCGGCGCAAAGTGGGGAGGTGGTGGTGCCCGGGCGGGGACCTCAGAATAGCTGCCCACGGGGTGACTCACCGGAGCGGAGGCCTCCGGGGAGAGGTGTCCCGGGGTCACCCCGGAATCGCGTCCCTTCCCAAGCGAGTCCCAGGCCGTCAGTCACCGCTTCCCGCCGCACACACCGGCCTCACCTGGGCCGAGGGGACGTGCAGCCTTTAGCGGTTCCCAGAAGCCCGTGGTGTGCGGGGGTCCCTCTACTCAGAGAGAATGAGAACCTGCCTGGTCGGTCACTCAGCAGAGGAGGCCGACCTCGAAGTGAGCCCAGATGTGCTATTTATTTTTTATTTTTTACAGAGAGGAAGGGAGAGGAAGAGAGAGTTAGAAACATCGATGAGAGAGAAACATCGATCAGCTGCCTCCTGCACACCCCCCACTGGGGATGTCCCCGCAACCCAGGTACATGCCCTTGACCGGACTGGAACCTGGGACCCTTCAGTCCGCAGGCCGACCTCTATCCACTGAGCCACACCAGCCAGGGCAGTTGTGCTTTTTATTTTTTTTAAAAAAATTGATTTCAGAGAGGAAGGGAGGAGAGAGAGAGAGAAGCATCCATGATGGGAGAGAATCATTGATGGGCTGCTCCCCGCATGCCCCGCAGTGGGGACCGAGCCCGCAACCGGGGCTTGTGCCCTGAACGGGAATCGAACCCTGACCTCTGGACGACACTTGGCCACGGAGCCACGCTGGCCGGGCTGTCTGTGGTTCCTCACTGGCCACCAGCAGCCCTGCCAGCACATGTGCTCCCCGAGGCGCAGGTGGGGCGCTGAGGCTGGGGGGTTAGGAACTTGCCCAGAGAAAACACTTGCCCTCCTGTCCGGACCGCGGCCTGCAGGGCTGCCCCTTCTCCCTGGGACTCTGCTCTCCCGGTCCAGGGGCCGCCTACACCTGCCTGGAGGCCGCCACCGGGCGGGCGCTGCTCCGCCAGCACATGGACGCCACCGGGGAGGATCACCCGCTCAACAAGCTGCGGGTGAAGATTGAACCAGGTCCGGAGGCCCCGCCCTCTGCCACCCCTCCCCATGGGATTGGTCAGTGGGCTCCCAGGTCCCTCCCCCGGGGCGGAGCCACAGGGAAGTCACCCGCTCAACAAGCTGCGGGTGAAGATTGAACCAGGTCCGGAGGCCCCGCCCTCTGTCACCCCCCTCCCCATGCGATTGGTCAGTGGGCTCCCAGGACCCTCCTCCGGGGCGGAGCCAAACCCTGCAGCCCGACCTCCCGCGGGTCTGCGCATCCTCCGGAGGTCCCACCGCCCGGGCGGTGCCAGGGTCAGGCCTCGGGTCTGGAAGGCGCGCAGGTGGCGACCAGCGGGGCTGGTCTCTTTTTATTAAATTTTTACTTTATGGATCTCAGAGAGGAAGGGAGAAGGAGAGAGAGAGACATGGACGATGAGAGAGCATCATGGACCGGCTGCCTCCTGCAGGCCCCGCCCTGGGGATTGAGCCCAACCCGGGCCTGTGCCCCGACCGGGAATGGAACCGCGACCTCCTCAACCACGGAGCTGGCCCTGGGGCCGGGCAGGGCTGGCTTCTCTGTTCTCCTCTCAGCTCCACGGTTATGGCCCTTTGAGGTCCCTCTGAGGTGCCTGCGGGAGGCCTGGGTGGTCCGCGGTCCTGTCTGGCTGTGCCCGGGGGTGGCTGCTGTGTCCTCTCCCGTCTGAGCTGAGCCTGCAGCTCGGGCACAACGCGAAGGGGACGGGTTGCCCAGGCTCCGACCTCGCCCACTGCCCCCGCCAGGTGTGGACCCGGACGACACCTACAACGAGACCCCCTACGAGAAAGGCTTCTGCTTCGTCTCCTACCTGGCCCACCTGGTGGGCGATCAGGATCAGTTTGACAGGTTTCTCCAGGTACCGGCCACTCGGATGGGGCGAAGGGCAGGGAAGTTGGGGGGGCGGTGGAGGAGGCTCGGGGACAGGGCTCCCCACCTCGGGGCTCAGCCCACAGAGAGGCCCCCCTCCTCCCAGGCCTACGTCAATGAGTTTAAGTTCCAAAGCATCTTGGCCGACGACCTCCTGGAGTTCTACCTGGAGTACTTCCCGGAGCTAAAGCAGCGGAAGGTGGACGCCATTCCAGGTGAGCGGGCGGCCCCGGGGCAGGAGGGGCTGTCTGACCATCTGGCCGTCCTGCCTGCTCTCCGTCCAGAGGACGCTGCACCTGCTCATCCAGCAGATGGCACTGGGGAGCAGACCAGGCCCCAGGCCCCAGGCCCCAGGCTCCTCGCTCCTCGCTCCTCCCTCCTCCTTCCTCCTTTTCCTGGAACCTGGACCACTGGCTCACACCCTGGGCTGGGCCTGCGCCCTCGGGGGCAGGAGTGGGGGCAGGAGTGGCCGCAGCCTTGCCCCGAGCAGAGCAGGGAGTTGCCTCTTGCAGGAAGGGAGGGCCCAGGGCTGCCTGAGAGAGAGGAGGCCGCCCCATCATGGGGGGTGCTGGACACCGCCCCCTGCGCCACCCCATCTAGCCCTGAGTCTCCCCGTCGTGGGGTCGGGGAGGGAGCACCCCTGATGCCAGGTGGCTTGGCCGTGCACCCTCCATGGCCAGTGAGAGTTAATCATTACGCTGACAGCCTGGCCGGCCGCGTGCAGAGCTCCCCACTGTGTCTGTGCGTTTAGTCCTCACCACTGAGGCAGGGCTCGCCCCGGTTTCACATAAGACGGGTGCAGAGGCGAAGCGAGGGGGCCCAGCCTCCCGCTGGTGGACAGCGGAGCCAGGATGGGACGGCAGGGGTCCGGGCCCCAGGCCGTGAGCTGGCCGCGAGGTCAGCATCTCCTGGTATCGTCTCGTCTCCAGGCTTCGAGTTCGACCGCTGGCTGAACACCCCGGGCTGGCCGCCGTACCTCCCGGACCTGTCCCCCGGGGACGCGCTCATGAAGCCTGCGGAGGAGCTGGCCCAGCTGTGGGCGGCCCCGGAGCTGGACATGCCGGCCATCGAGGCCGTGGCCATCGGCTCCTGGAAGACCTACCAGCTGGTGTACTTCCTGGACAAGGTCCTCCAGAAGTCCCCTCTGCCGCCCGGTGAGAAAGGGGTGATTTCTTCCCCCCCAAATATATTTTTATAGATTTCAGAGAAAGGGAGAGGGAGGGAGAGACACCTCAATGATGAGAGAGGATCATGGATCGGCTGCCTCCTGCACACCCCACACGGGGGACAGAGCCGGCAACCCAGGCATGGGCTCTGACCGGGAATCGAACCGCGACCTCCTGGCTCCTAGGTCGACGCCCAGCCACCGAGCCACACTGGGCAGGAATCATTGATGTTTCTCTCTCCCTCTCCCTTCCTCTCTGAAATCAATAAGAAATATACACACACACACAAAAGATGAGTAATAAAAAGTAATTATTTAGAAAGATACCGACCCCCGTCTTTCCCAGGGAACGTGAAGAAGCTGGGGGAGATGTACCCAAAGATCTCGGGCGCCCGCAACGCGGAGCTGCGGCTGCGATGGGGCCAGATCGTCCTTCAGAACGACCTCCAGGAGGACTTCGGGAAGGTCAAAGACTTCCTGCAGAGCCAGGTGGGTCCCTCGCGTCCCCAGGCCGCCAGCCCGCAGCTCTGGGTCCTCACCCTTCCCTGGAGCAAGGGGAGGGGTGGAGAGCAGGGAGGGTCTGCCCACAGCCCCTGGGGAGGGAGACCCAAGGACAAGGAGGTGAGTGATCGAGAGGCTGTGGTCGCAGTGCCCCTGGGGCCGGGTGGGGGCCTGTGGCAGGGGAAGGTTCAGACCCTGCTGCACCCCAGGTCCCTGGGGAGCTGCCTGCTGGGCACGGGCCAGGGTCTCAGGAGCCCGAACAGAATCCAGGGGGGAGGGGCTGGCGGCAGAGCCCTGTTCAGGCCCCTCCGCTGGACGGTGGCAGCTCAGCCCTCCTGGGAGGCCCAGCCACTGGGGCTCTGCGTTCGGGGACTCTGTGCCTTTGGACCTGGGTTATCTTTCTTTTTTCCTTTTTTCTTTTTTTGGTTAATCCTCACCCGAGGCTCTTTTCCCGTTGATTTTTAGAGAGAGTGGGCGGGGAGGGGAGGGACAGAGAGAAGCATCGATGTGAGAGAGACACACCCAGTGGCTGCGTCCTGCACGCGCCCGACCAGGGCTGGGGAGCTGCCACCAGAACCAAACCCGGGACCCTCGGAGCTGCTGGCGCTCTGTCCCCTGAGCCCGACTGGCTGGGCCGGGCCCTGGGCTGGGACCTTCTGCCCCATCTTTGCTCTGAGCCCCTGGGGAGCCCCCCTGTCCGGTCAGGTGTGAGCGTCCCTGCTGCCCTGGAGCCGGGGGAACGCTGGCTTCTCTCTGTGTGTGGGAAGCTCCTCCCCCGCTGGCCCTCGGGCACCTGCCCAACTGCCTGGGACCAGCCCGGGCAGGGGCTGGACAGACCCCGGGGCCGGCCACGTAGGCACGCGCACGTGTGCATGTGTGTGTTCCCTGCAGGGGAAGCAGAAGTACACGCTCCCGCTGTACCGCGCCATGATGGGCGGCAGCGAGGCGGCCCGGGCCCTCGCCAAGGAGACCTTCGCCGCCACGGCCGCCCAGCTCCACAGCAACGTGGTCCACTACGTGCAGCAGCTCCTGGCCCCCGAGGGCAGCTAGAGGCTGTCCCCACGCTGCCCACGTGCCGCCCTGTGCTGGCTTCCAGAATGATCCACCCCGTCCCCGTCTCCAGCCCCCGCTGAGGTGTGTTCCCTCGACGGCCTGGTCTCCGGGCTCGAGTCTGACTCGTGGGGGCTGCTCTGGACCGAGACCGAAGACCCCCCGGCCCTCAGTGCAGGCTGCTCGTGGGCAGGCCCCCCTCCCACTGGAGGGTCAGGGCGAGAGCAGAGGACTTGGTCCTCGTTGGCCGATTTTTAAAGAATATGTTTTTAAATGATTTTTTTAGGGAGAGGGAGAGAGAGAAACGTCCATGATGAGAGGGAATCATGGACGGGCTACCTCCTGCACGCCCCACACTGGGGATCGAGCCCACAACCCGGGCTCGACCGAGAATCGAACCGTGACCTCCTGGTTCACAGGTCGATGCTCAATCACTGAGCCACGCCGGCCGGGCCCTCTGGCTGATTCTTGACGTTCTGTGCAAACGCCTGCGTTGGGGTCACTCCCTTTTCGGGGTGAATCTATTTTAATAAATCTTTTTAACCGGCGTGTGTTTCAGTTGGAGTTGCGGATCGAGGGGCTGCCACATTCCTTCCCCTCGGTGCCCCCCTGTGCAGCGTCCCAGGACGGTCCCTGGGGAGACCCGAGGGCCACAGTGTCCCCGTCCTCGTCCTCGGGGAGCCCGGCTGCAGGGCCTGCGTGAGAAAACCACAGCCACGCGGCTTAGCACGTGTCCAGGAGGAGCGGGCGACGCGCAGCACCCCGTTCCCGCAGTCCCCCCTGCGGGTGGCTCCTTGTCAGCTAGACCCGGGCTGGCTGGTCGTGTGAACGTGCCTTTGTTTGTCCTTCTGGAGCCTCCTCGCCAGCCCCGGGGCCGTGTCCGCCTCTGAGCCTGGGTGACCTCGCGGGCGGGTGAGGGGATCTAAGCAGCTAGCAAGTCAGGGTGGGGCTCTGGGTGGGGAAGGGAGGGTCGCAGAGAAATACTTAAATACTTTTTTGTTAATCCTTGCTCGAGGGCATTTTTCCATTTATTTATTTGTTTGTTTAGCGTAGAAGAGAGAAGGAAAGACAGAGAAACATGATGCGGGTTGCCTCCTGCGTGCCCCTGACCAGGCTGGGGAGGAGCCTGCGGCCCAGGTCTGTGCCCTTGACCGGAATCGAACCCGGGACCCTTTGGTCTGACACTATCCACTGAGCCAGAAACATCGATGAGCGAGAACCACCAATCAGCTGCCTCCTGTACATCTCCTATGGGGGATGTGCCCGCAACCCAGGTACATGCCCTTGACCGGAATCGAACCTGGGACCTTTCAGTCCGCAGGCCGACGCTTTATCCACTGAGCCACACCAGCCAGGGGTAAATACATTTTTAAGTTTCCTTTCTTACATGCGGGGCACCCCTGAGCCCGAGCCTGCTCTCCCCGGCTGTGGCTCTGTCCTTGACTGAGGTTATCAGCACCGGCCTCTCCCGTCCTGCCCTGGGCTTAGGAGGAACCAGCGCGGCAGGAAAGGGATTGTTCTCCCTCCCAAAAGCGAGCGAGTAGTACGACCATGTGACTGGCCGCGATGGTGGGTGCGTCCGTCCCAGACCGTCCTCATAGGAGACTGGTCTCAGGGCTGCAGGCGGACGGTTCCAGGGCTGCCCTGAGGCTCCGCACCTGACTCGGGGCGGCTTGTTGGCCCTGAGGTGGCTCTTGCCTCTCATCAGGAGGCCCCGCCCCCATCCCACAGCCCCTCTGACCTCTGTTCTGGAAGCTTCTCCCCACCCTCCCTCCCTCCCTCAGAGGCACCGTCCTGAGCCTTTCCACATCTTCACAGCATCACCGTCTCAAAGGCATAAATACTGGGCCCGGCCGGCGTGGCCCAGGGGCTGAGCGTCACCCTAGGAACCAGGAGGTCAGGGTTCGATTCCCGGTCGGGGCCCAGGCCCAGGTTGGGGGCTCGATCCCCAGTGTGGGGTGTGCAGGAGGCAGCCGATCCATGATTCTCTCTCATCATGGATGTTTCTCTCTCCCTCTCTGACATCAATAAAAATATATTTAAAAAATAAGTCCTTGGAGGTGAGGGGCCCATTTCTCCTTGCAGCCCCTCGAAGGCCTGGGAGCTGGTCTCCCCGGAGCCTGCGTCCCCAGGTGTCCTCCTGTGAGGCCGAGGGCGCAGTCCTGGGCCGGGAGCTGGTTCTGCCACATTCCTGGGTGACGGAGGGTGAGCCTGCCTGGGGCTCTGCTCCCTCGGGGAGGCCCCCCCAGGCGCTGGGGAAATCCAGGCCTGGCCCCGTGGGGAGGCCCAGAACTGCACCCCCTGCC